TCTTTGCGGTTGCAACTGAACAAGTCAAGTTTTTACTTTTCGTCGTAAAACAGGAAGCGGCATGAGTTCACGATTTCGCAAAACGCAGTCATCATCCACTGAAAAGGCGAACCGGAAATCACAGCAGACAACCGCGTATGTCTTTTTCATAACTCTCTCAATTGACATTTAATTACAAAAAAAAACCGACATTTTTCTCAGTCGACATTTAGTTATAAAAAAAGTTTTTGGTTTTTTTAAAAAATTTGATAAAACAGACGATGAACAGACATTGAACAAGTCTGGCTACTACACCATATGTTATAGGTCACTAATTACTAGCCTTCGCTAGGAATAATCTGCATCCCACGTTGTTGTGTTTTAAAGCCTTGAAATTTGAAAAAAAAAAAGTAGCTTTTTTCGGATTCACGGTCTTTATTCAACTGTAAGTTCACAGACCAAACCGCAAAAAGTTTTGGAAGGTAGGTTCTACGCTATTTAAATTTCCAAAAGAATAAGGAGTTTTGTTTTGTTGTAACTTTTTCCACACTAAAAGGAGTTTGGATTTGGGCTTGAGAAGTCGGGACAAAGAAAGTTCTCGAAGTTGCTTTCAAGTTTGTGCTGTTCTACACGGTCTGGGGCTAAGTTTCAGGGGTTTAAATTTTCTAATTTACAGACAGGAAAAAAGTAAAATTCATTTATTTATATAAATGCAACAAAACAAAGCGCAAAAATATAGGGAGCAGCCGGTAGAAGGTAATTCAAATGGTTCATGGTCTGATGTGCCCGTCGTATACACAGATGGTGCTTGTACCTCGAATGGACATGCCAGCGCTGCCGCTGGGATTGGTGTTTTCTGGGGCGAAGAGCACGTTGATAATATTTCCGAACCGCTTGCCCATGGCCCACCGACTAACAATCGAGCCGAATTTACCGCGGTCATTCGTGCTCTTGAAACGGTAATTTTTTTAATGGTTTGAGCGCTTTGTGGCATTTCTTTTTTTTTTGTATAAAAGAATCCTGGTTTATCCTGGTTGTTTCTGGAAGTCGAACGGCAGGCTGATGGACGGACAAATTCTGAAG